ATTCAAATCCTATGCATAATGGTCACAAGGTTTCTCCATTCGGATTGATATATCTATTTGATCACTCTTCCCTATGGGCCACTAAGGCCCTACCTTGCTGATTTTCCTAAGCAAGCATCACTTGACCTTTTACACACTTTAGTCTTTCCTCTAGAACACTCACATTATTGCCACTATATTACTTCATCCTCCCTTGCTAAACACCTCCTAATTCCATGCTCTTCTTCAGTGATCTTTCCCTTCTTCTTCTTTGTGCAACAATTGAGGATCCAATCTTTTTGCTTGATCCACTTACATGACTACCAAAATTTCTAGAAACCTCTAGTCATCATAACTACTCATAGTGTTTCAACTTTGAGCATAAAAAACCTAGGAGGCTTCTAATGACCCTCTATTTGACTTGTTCTATAAGCTTTGAACTTGGCAAAGACTTCAAGTTTGTATGATTCTAATATTCTATTATAACTCCTTTGCTTTACCATCCTCTATGCCATAATTTGCATCCTTGGTGACCTCCTTTGTGGCTAAGCTCTCTTTCATGGTTTCATTCTCTCTATTCACAAAAATTCTCTTATAATCAACTTGATCTTCCTTCTCTCTAAATTGCTCACCTATTACAAAAAAAATGAAAAAGCTTAATACCCTAATGATAAGTTATGTCTAGGTTTCAACTGTATAGATTGTGTCTAAATCCATATAGGTTCTCTTCTCGTAATTAGCTAATCATCATATAGTGTGGAAAAGGTCCCAATCTTACTCAACATTCAGACCTTGACCTCATGGTCCTACTTCGAGTGATCTAGACACCTATATACCCTACATATCTCAGGTAAAAAGTCATACTTAAAGTGTAGTTAGTACAAGACATTCTTTTCAAACTTTGCTATTACACCCTTAGCTAATAAGTTTGTTAACATCCACTAGAACCTTAGCTTTCAGTTAGGGACTTTACCCCATTAGACCCTTGCTTGCATAAACCTCAGCTTTCAGTTAGAAACCTTACCCCCTTAGACCTTTGCTTGCATAAACCTCCACCATCACACTTACTTTCCTCTTGATGCTTCACCTTACACTCTTCATTCTTTACCTAAGTGGTAGCTGTTGCATGTTCATCCAAAAAGCACAATAGTGAAGATCATCTCTCGATCTAATTTCTTGAGAACTAGTAGCCTCTTATTAAAGGGCCAAGGCCCTTATTACAATACTCTCTCCCTATCAAACTAAGAGCAAAAGATAAAGATGTACCTTTTACCACTGACTTCCTTAACCCCAGTCTTCTAAGTAGTCTCCACACATCTTAAAGCATAATAGTTATTGTTGTCACATTTGCAAACTTTCTACTATATAGCTTCTAAACCAAACTACACTTATCAAGCTCTATGGTAACATCCTTCTCGATGTTCTACACCTTTATGAGAAGAGTCATGGTTCTTCATATCCTATATCACTGAAACTTTCCCCCATTCCTGCACACCATCACTTGACATTGTAACTAGTAAAGATCCATAGTTGTTCCTCATTCCCTCCACCCAAACCATCTCATGCATGCCAGAAAGTGCATGAGGAGCGAACCTCAATCTATTCCCCAAGAAAACCTCACCCATAAGCATTGCCCTCCCCTTAAAATTGATATACCTAAACCCAATAAGATATGTTTCCTGGGCCTACCTTGCTGAGTGGCACCATCCTTGCTTTTACCACCTTTTCTCTATCCACACCATAGCTTTTGATAGACTATGGCTAAACTACTAACCCTCATACCACCTTTCCTTACACCCATCATAGTCTTCACCTAAGCCTTCTTGTTCTTTGAGTCACTCCCATCAAGCCACCCACATCCTTTCCCTTGTTCTCCATCTTCTCCCTTGTGGTAACCACACACACCTTTCTCAATAACCACAATCTTGTAACCTACACCAACTTGCACTGTGAACCCAAGGAAATAGAGCCTTAATCTCACACACCTTCTAGCCCACAACAATTGCATTTATTATAGCTCATAACTAAAACTAAAAAGGAAAAAAAGCAAAGATGAAAACAATGATTGAGATGAGGAAAAGGAAACAAAAGAAACTATGAATAAGGACCAGGTGCATATATGGATGCACTCTAAACCCTACCCTTACAGTGTTTAGAGAGAAAGAAAGAGAGACTTTTTAACATCTTACTATATTATAAAAAATATTAAAATCATTAACAAATCTCAAATAAATACCTAATGGACTTTTTAAAATCTTTAATAAATCCCTTTAAAATACTCATTAAATCTCAAATAAATACTCAATGGGTCTCTATTAAAACACTTAGGAGTTTAAAACAGTGGTAGAGCCAGGGGGTGCGAGGGGGGGCGCTTGCCCCCCCTGAAGTTTGAAAATCTTGTAAATTAATATATGAAAAATTATCTAGCCTCCCCTGAACTTTGAAAATTTTAGTATTTTGCCCCCCTGAAAAAAATTTCTACCTCTGCCCCTGGGTTAAAACTCAATTAACTATAATTATATCCAAATTCTTACTAATATAAAACCTCAAAATATATTAGTAGTAATTAAATTCTATGCGAAAACAAGATAAAAAAAATTTTTTTCTATGTGAAACCAAACTCTTATCATGTGTAGTTAATTATACTAAAATCCAAACAGTAGTTAATACATTAGAGTATTTGGATTTTCAATGTAGTAGTTAATTATTATATATTGTGTGTTTATCAAATTCTTATTAACTACAATAAAAATGTGAAAACAAATACTTTCAAATCCAATTCTATAACGAGTAGTGACTTAAGCCTAAGAAAAATACCTTCAAATTACAAATGAATGTAATGTGAATATTCTAGGTAACAAATGAAAATTTTATAATGAACTGACACAAAACTCAGCAAGTTAAATCAAAATATCAATATTAAACAAGGATGAGATCAAAAACAATTAATAGATCAGAAGTAAATGTCGTGAGCAACATTTGGAGATGGAATATGTTAATGCTATTCAATAATGTAAAATAGGAGAATAACAAAATAATTTCGAAGGCAAGGAAAAAAGGGAGAAAAATAAGATTAACGCAATTGAGACAAATAATTTGGAGTTACATCTTTTTAACAGAAATTGAGATCAAATAATATAAAATTACTTTATGAATGATAAATGATGAGTTAAAATCAAAGTTGCATATATATAATGTGTTTAGTGTAAATATACATTATATTATTTAAAACAGTATTTTTCAAATTCATTATTATTTACTCTATTATTTTTGAACTAATTAAGAGAGTAATTATTAAAATTAATATAATTATGGTTAAACATATTTCTTCATAATAATTACTAAAATATCAAAAATTATGAATAACTACAAATTATAGTACATATATATAACTAATATGTATCAACTTGAATTACCAATTTGAAAAGTACAAGATGAGTTCTAAACCAACCATCTGAGCATAAGCAGAAAGTAATAGCACCTACAAAAAATCTTTAAAAAAAAAAAAAAAAAGAACATTTGCAAGAAAATTAAAAATATTTTGACACTTTTGTCAAAAGTCTAAATTATATATCAAAAAAGTATGAAACTGGTAATGTATGAGTCTTTACAAGCTTTTAATAAATTTATTAAGACAACAAAGTTAGATAATTCTAATATGCACACAACAAGAGTGGAGAGAGAAAAAGAGAAAAATTAAGATAAAAATGATATAAATAATAGATAGAGATTTTAGAGATTTAAAATATAAAAAATAGCAATTAATATTACAAATTTTAGGTGAAAAAACAAATATTATTTTGAGAAAAATCGAGCGGAAAGTGACCACTCTTTGGGAAAGTATGTGGAGACGCTGCGCACTAAATTACAGAGAGAGAGCCAACGAGGGCAACTTCGTCTATTACTATTAAGCAAAGGATTACAAATACAAAGGGTAATTAAAGTTCCCGGATCCATTATAGGCGCGGTATAAAATGTGTTTTGGTCCACTGAAATAAAAACCGACCAGAGGCAGTTCCTCACATAAATGTCTCCAAAACCCCAACCATTTTCATTGATTGTCAATTTAAAATGCTATTTGAGTTTTTTTATTTAGCACATCGGACCTTAACATTAACATGATATCTGATTTTCTATATTTAATCTGGGATTCGAACTTTCGAACATAATTATTATTTTTTTTTTCTTTTGTGGTTGATATAAGATATCTTGTGTAAACTTGGGCAAACCATACTACCAGTCTTGGGTTCTCAAAATTTTCTTGCTGAAAGTGAAAACATGATCGCTGAAAGTTAAGTCCAAGTTCTAATTTTTTGAAAATAAGGCCAAGTTCTAATTGAAATACTATAAGGAGAGCTTTCATTAAAATATTATTTAGCTGATAAAGTCGGAAAGAGTAGACAGTATGTTTATAGAAGGAAAAAGCAAGAAAGACATTAATTTAAGTTCACGGAGCATCATTGACCATCTTCTTTCCACTTTTTCATTAATGAACATAAAAGTAGATAATTGGTGGACTCAACTTGCAAATACTACTGGATAGTATCGTTTTATACATTAGATTTAAAATTTAAAATTTACAATTAATATAATTTTTTTATAATATAAAACTAATAGAAAAGTGTACTATTTAAGATATAGATTAGTTTTGAGTTATATATTATAAATTCATTAAAGACGTAATAAAGATATATTTACATATAAATTTTATATATTATATTTATATAAAATCTTAATTTTTTATTTTTTTATTTTTAATAATTGAAATTTATCATAATTTTTTAAATAAAAAAATAATTATATTTAATTAATATGATAAAAATTAAATAAATCTCAACTATTGAAAATAAAAATACAAATTATTAAAATTTTATATAAATATAAAAATTTTTGTCTAAGTTGATCTTTACTAGTAAATAAATAATAAATAATAATAATTGAATGACAGTAGACCTTAATTATTTTGCTCCAACCACATGAACCCCCAGCTATATATATATGAGCCACTACCTCTCCCTGCTTCAACATTAAAAGAAAAAAAAAAGCTGATGTTTGGCTTTCTTGAGAGCATGGCAAGCTCAAAATTGTTTCTCATTCTTGTTTTTGTTCTTTTGGTCTTCAAAAATTCAGGTACTGCCCGAGTAGAGGCAGCTCGGGCATTTTTTGTGTTTGGTGATTCATTGGTTGACAATGGCAACAACAATTACCTGGCTACCACGGCTAGAGCTGATTCACCCCCTTATGGCATCGATTATCCCACTCATCGCCCCACTGGCCGCTTCTCCAATGGCCTCAACATCCCTGATTTCATTAGTATGTATTTCTTAGTGTCTCCAAAGGGCCACTTCTCTTTTTATTTCCAAGTTGTTGCATTTATGTTTTGTATTATGCACTTTCAGGTCAGGAAATCGGCTCAGAATCCACATTGCCTTATTTGAGCCCACAACTCACTGGACAAAGGCTACTTGTCGGTGCAAACTTTGCTTCTGCTGGCATCGGAATCCTCAATGACACTGGAATCCAATTTGTAAGTCCTAGTACTTTTCTCCATCTTCCTGTTCATATTTAGCCTTTACAGTAAAAAACATCTTTTCAGAAAGTGGGCCAAGAATATAGCTTGGCTGAATTGGTAGCCATGTATTTAAAAATTTTGATTTGGAGTTAAAACTAAATACATATTTGTGCTGCCAAACAATTAATTTTTTGATGTATTAAAAAATGAAAAACAAAAAAGTGGACCAAATATACACCATTTTCAAACACAAATCCACCCAAGGGGTCACATTCATACCCTTTATTAATTATGCTGATTAATTAGAGGTGAAATACAATTATCCTAACATTTTGTTACCACCTTTATTTTATTGCATGCTAAGTGTTGTTTACATACTTGTAATGCTTCCTTCATAAATTTTTTGTTTGAAAGTAAGAATCTTTGATTTTTGAAACATGGAAAGAAAAACTTCTGATTTCGGCACATTGGTAGGTCAACATTATAAGAATGTATCAGCAATTACAATACTTTGAGGAGTACCAAAGGAGGGTGAGTGCACTCATTGGAGCTGCCCGGACAAGGCAGCTTGTAAATAGAGCTCTCATTCTTATCACCGTAGGTGGCAATGACTTCGTCAACAACTACTACTTAGTACCTTACTCGGCAAGATCTCGCCAATACTCTCTCCCAGATTATGTCAAGTATCTCATTTCAGAGTACAAAAAACTCCTAATGGTACTTTAAAATCTATTAATCTTACATTTTTCTTGGTCTAAGTCTAATATATAGAACTTATGGTCGAGAATTAATGACAAGTTTGAAGCTTCAATTCTTTTTCCTTTGCTCTTATTTTATATAATATTGCAGAGCCTGTATGATCTTGGAGCTCGTCGGGTATTGGTCACTGGGACTGGTCCTTTGGGCTGTGTTCCAGCGGAACTGGCCTTGAGAAGCCGAAATGGCGAGTGTGCAGCTGAACTGCAGCGAGCTGCAACTTTGTTTAACCCACAACTTACCCAGATGTTGAGAGAACTTAACAGTAATTATGGATCGGATGTTTTCATTGCAGCTAATACACAGCTAATGCACAACGATTTTGTTACCAACCCTCAAGCCTACGGTAAGTGAAATTAATTAATTTATGTTTTAATGTTCATTTTGGAGATTTGAACTCATGACTTCTTTTATTTCTTAAAAAGATTATTGATTGAATCATTTAGGGATCACCCAGGATGCTAGGAAATGAGAGAGTTATAATTCAGAAGTGCTGTTTGAGTAGGGATTTTTACAAGTGTTGCATCATTAATTTATCATATAAAACAATCACAAAAATTTTAAGATTTGATAAAAATGATTAAACTATAGTAAAATTTAACTATTAAAGTTACCTAGAGAAGTTATAGCTTTGCAGTTTCAGATTATGAAAACAACATTAATTTGTCCTAACTTTCGTATAGAAGCTCTTTTCAAAAGTTCTGAAGTAAATTTATTTTTAACTTGTAATCTTAGTGCACAAGTTAATAACATAATTAATATATCTTTTAGTTTCTAAAAAAATCTTAATTGTTAACAACTTAAATCTTCACGTTAAAAATTTCAAATTCAAATTCTAAAGTAGGTGGAGAGCAGTTTAGGAAGTGAGGGGTTATATCTTATTTTATATCCCATCATCATCTGATTAAAAAAGTAAAAACTAATACACCTTTAATTATTGAGAGATACAAAAAATATATAAAAGTTTATATTAATTTTTGCACCAATAACATGCTAATAACATGTATGTAATTTTAATTAGTTAATTTACAAAATTAAAGTTAAATTTTATATTTTTTATATAATTTTATGAAAAATATATATATTAATTTACTATTTGCAGTCTAAAAGGACGAGTTAGATGTTAGAGAGCACCAATATCTTTATCTGACTTGGTCAATGAATAACCTTTTCCTTTTTCCTATAGGATTTATAACATCAAAGGTGGCATGCTGTGGACAAGGACCTTACAATGGTTTAGGACTATGCACTGTGGCTTCAAACCTGTGCGCAAACCGGGATCAGTACGCCTTCTGGGATCCATTCCATCCATCAGAAAGGGCCAACGGAGTCATTGTTCAGCAGATCAAGACTGGCTCGACAGAGTACATGTACCCCATGAACCTCAGCACCATCATGGCCCTAGACTCCAAGATCTAGCTAGTTAGCCCGTGACATTCTGTTAGAAGAAAATAATAATAAATAAATGAAAAAAATGCCCACTTTAATTCTTTGAATAATATGTTTGCTGTGATACATATGTAGATTTATGTTGCTTTGGCACTTGATTCCATGATCAAGTAATGTCTTTCAATGTAATGTTGTTCCAATTCTTTTTTCCAAACACCAACAAAATTTCAATTTATTGATGATAAATATCATTACACAAAATGATCCTGATCACTTTGCTTGGAGGACTGGACTACGCACCTAATAATAAGGGAAATTATCCTACAAAAGAGCTTAATTTTGCAATCCAGTTTGCTACGTTCTTGACAGTACCGTTGGAACAAGTTAAAAAAAAAAAAAGGGGGAAGCTGAGAAATGAGTAAAACGATTTCAAAATTCATGTCTAAAAAATGACATGTTGAAATCCCAAACTAACATGGGGATACTTACCATTTGTTGACAAATTGCACTAGCTCTTCCAACAACTATCCTTAATGCTATAATTGTCAGAGTATGCACTTGTGTCAGCGACTGGCTAAACATTTTTCTATTTATGATTATGATTAAATAATATTTATGTTATTTTTTATCATATATTTATTATTCTTATGTGTGTTGGGGTGTGTTTCTATCAGTTACTATTGATTGATGACGTAGCTAACTCTAATGAAGAACACGAGAAAATTATTTTTGAAGAATCAAGTTTGTTAGTTGGTGCAACTCAAGGAAATGAGGCCCTAGTCATCAGAACCTTCCAGTTAAGCTTTCAATGATGCCTAGGGTTAGAGGACGAACAAGGTCATTTTGCTAGAACCTAACTGTAATACCCCGAAATTTGTGGAGTATTAAAGTGTGAGTAAGGGACTTATTTGATGAAAAATATTATTGAGGGGCTTAATAGTAAAATTTTTTAAAAAAGTTGAGGGACTAAAAAGAAAAGAAATTAGGATAAGGATTACCTGCTTTTTTTCTTTTTCTTTTTCTTTCTTTTCTTCCTCACCAGCCGCGTGTTTCTGCCTCTGCTTCTCCTTCCTCCCCCGACCCTCTGCACCCGACGAGCCCCCCACGTTACCGCCACCCATTTCCGGCCGGAAATCCGGCAAAGCTTGGGGAATTCTCCCCATTTTCTCGTTCTAGAACACCTATCAAAACCAGAATTTCCAGATCTGCGTTGCTCTGCGTCTTCATCCCCTGCTGTCCGCGGGTTTCTGCTGTGTGGGGTGCGATTTCTGGACTTTTCGGGTAAGCCATAGCCATGAAATTCATCCTCTCTCTTTTAATTTGGCTTGGGTTACTCTAATTTCTGTTTTGGATTCTTGAATTTGG